TTATCGATTACTTGGCATATTTAGAATAGCGACAGGATGTCTTGTTGATCGATTATTAAAAAAAGCTCTGTTACCATCTTTAAACTTATTTTGTGTCGTATGTTATAATTATACGTGACGCTTTGTAGATAATACGCGCTTTAAAAATTACTTTAGCACTCTGTAAGCCGATAAATGATAAAGAAAATTGTAGGACCAAAATGTCCGATCGATTCGAGACACAGTAGAAGACTTAGGAAAGGGAATGACGGCTAAAATAGTTTAATTAAACCACGGCGCTAAGCCCCTCTTAAATTTATAGCCGTGCAATAAAAAAGCATGTTCCACAGCAGGATTGCGAGGAGAAAAAATTGGAGTTTCAATAGCAAAGTTCGGTCCCATTCGCACGGCCACGAGGATAAAAATAATGTGATGCTGGTTTCGCTCTTTTACGAAATTCTTTTGAGAAAATTTCCGATCTATCACGCCATTCACTCGTCGCTGTTTCTGTCTCTCGTTTAAATGTAACATAAATGCCAACGAGTATTTTCTCACGCGTATTTAATCCCGACAAGTATATGATATAGTGTAGAGCTCGCGTAACATCTTTACAAACACTAGCGATATTTTCAATTCATAATAAATCCCTTTCGACATTTTCGCAAATTTCAATTCTAATTACCTCCATTCATGCCGAAACAGTAACGTAACAGTTCATTATAGGAATATCTGGGAATATCCATATCATCTCACCGATGACATATTGGATGACTAGAGGGATTAATGTTGCCCACAATCGACAATCACCGGGTCCTCTATAATTATAGAAATTATTACAATGATAATTGACGGATATCTATATAGATGGGAGACAATGTATATACTGATACTTGAAAAACTAAACCAATTAAAATAACATTCTGGTGGGATTATTTCGGTGAAAATAAAAATATTATTGCGAAAAAGATAATGGTCGGATAAACATACATATCATCGACATTAAATTCCATTCAGTGGATAGAAGGAATGAACAAACAGCCCGCCCTTAAGATCTGTAAGAAAAATGAGGAAACCGTCGAGTAATCTTACTATTTTATAAAGAATTGCAATTACGCACTCATAGTGAAAGAAACAGTAACAGAATCGCGATCGCGCAAAGTTAAAACATCAAAATTTTCGGCTGTCAATTATGTCCAGTTCTCTTGGAAGAGAAATCCTAAAATGCAGCTTTGCTTAAACAAAATTGAACACACGTACATATCGTTGCCGATGCGAATTTTCTCACGCGAGATATTGGCAAACGCAAATTAACGCAAGCCCCGGCTGATTCAAAGGCGGTTAATTACGATTGGAATTGCTCGACTTCGTTAAATAATTACTTCACAGCGTGGCGAAACATCACACCGCGCGCGTTTTCATAAGGTTTATCTGACTTCTACTTTTCAACAGGTGTTGCTGGCGGCAAAAGACAACCGACGTGTACACGCAGTACACACGTAACTAACGTGTCGCGTTAATTAACGATGCTTTCACATTTATTCGCGTAGCATAAAGTTAGACGCATTTACTTTGTTGCGTTCCAGTATCGCGAGATAATAGCATTCGGTTTTCCTTTAATGAAGATAATGTTATAATCCAACATGCCAGAAAAGCGGTCAGTAAATGTCAGTGAGAGATGTGTTTATTTTTATAATGTTATGTTTTTCTAATGTGTACGGCGATGCTTGAGACGTGGTAAGTACTTGAAGTAAATAATTAGAACCGCAACAACTGGAAAAAAACAACTTTAATATGTGCGCGCATCATCGAAAAATGTACTTTGTACTATAAAGGGGATCTCTTTACGCATCATGTTTTTATAAACAGACTGCACCGGAAAATGTAAACTAGAGCGCTTAAATGTAAACCATAGCGCGCGCGCCGACTAACGTTTTAATAGAGATTGCATAACCGGGAATGCTTTCACCGGGCCACAATATATGGAAAATGTATTACAAAACATATCCGCGCTAAAAAAATAAAACATCTACTCTTTGCACATAAACAAAGTTTTAAAAAATTCTAAATATTAATAGAAACAATTTAGAGCATAAAGTGCAAATATAAAGTTATTTTTTCTCAATGATTTTTAGTTTCTCAATGATTTTTAGTTTCTCAAAATACGCAATGTTGAATTTTATATTATTCTTATTTTTATTTTACTGCTCATTTTTATTTTAGGAACAGAGAATTCTTAATTATAAGTTCAGTGCAATATGTACAGTCGCGGATTACTTATTCAATTCCTTAAGAATTCTGTGTATGTATATTAAGACGAAGTCCCTCTCTGAATTTAAATCATCATCAGCTTCGACAGTCAGAACGCTTTCCCGTGACAGCTTTCGAAATTACAGCTAACGGCTTTGTGGTAATTAATTTTTTTACCGGCAAAGCCGAAAAGCGAGGGGCAACGACGGAATGACCACGAAATCGGTCTAATGGGCGGCCGTTTGTCATTCTCCATCCAAAGTGGCATTGCGGAAAGGGTAAGAAGGAACCCTTATGTGCACGCCGCCGACCAAGACGATAATTTGCACGCGATTCCATTCGCCGCTATACACCTTCCGCGTCGGCGTATAACTTGATGGAAACACACGGCTCGGCGCTCGCTCCAGTATTCAAAAATAACAGAACCTCGTAAAGCGAACACAGGACAAGCTGGTTCGGGCGAAAACCATTTTACGTGGCGATTACGGTGTAATTACGAGAATCGTAGAAACGATGATTATTATTAACATAACGACATACATGCGATATTATTTTCGGACTGTCGTTAAAATCTTTCCCTCGCCCCATGCCTACCTTCGTCGTATATCCTTGCGTAACAACCTTATCGAAATAATGACCGAGGTAAGGTAAAAGCAGCATTATCGCGTATCTAAAGCAAGGCGGAGACGATCAAGCGACGTAACATGTATGTTTCATACCTGACACGCGAATATTATCTCGAGTTTAATCCTGGGAAGATTAATTGGAATTGGCAGTGCACCTGTTATTCTTAGACGACCCACTGTATGCTAAAATAACATTACGTGCGCGCTGAAACCCGAAAGGACCAAAATGATAATCATTATGCGATTTCGCTGGATAACCTCGTTCCGTCAGTGGAAAATTTATAAAAGGATGATTAACGAACACAGCGGTGACGAGAGATGACGAAATGTATATTTTGCTTGTCGAACGTTTTTTTATTCCCCGTGAAACCGCGATTCGAATACTTCAATGTTCGTGTGATAAAAAATATTAAACGTTTATTACTCGTTTGAAGAGAATTATACGAAGAATGTGGATAAATGCGAGAAATTATTGCAGTATCATCCCTCTTTACTAACAGGAATACCGAGTGATTATTTGCACGCAATCTTAGTCTGCATTCGTTTGATTCAACCGTGAGCAGAGTTAGCATGGCATATTCCTTCGTTGAGGCTCTCTTATTTAAAAGGCACTTATTCAAAGTACATTTTTATTTGTTATTAAGATATCTTTTATCTTTTTTATTTTGAGCGATAACAATATTACTGATAAGAAAAACCGAATCTTTTTTTAAGAATCTCTTTTCACCGCATATGATGAATCTATTTACACGAATTCATTGCGTTACCGCCAGAGAATATTTTTATAAAATATGGAAATAAATGACATCACATACA